AAAAAAAAAAAAAAAAAAAAAAAGAAAGAAAGAAAGAAAGAAAAAGAAAAAGCTAATGTTTATGACCAAAGGAAAGACACATCTTAGGTTCCCTTTACAATGTTTGTAGCAGTAACTGTCAACTTTATACTTAAGAGCTATCCAGCTGGGAGTGGTGGCACATGCCTGTAATCCCAGCACTCGGGAGGCTGAGGCAGGAGGATTGCTGCTACTTTGAGGCCAGCTGGGCCTACATACTGAGTTCAAGACCAGCCTCAACTACATAGTGAGACCCTGTCTCAAAAAAAAAAAAAAAACAAAAAAAACAAAAAAACACAATAGGGCTGGGGATTTAGCTCAGTGGTTCTGCCACCTGCTTTGCAAGTGTAAGGTCCAAAGTCTGATCCCCGGCACCAAAACAAAAAAAACAAAACAAAACAAAACAAAAAAAAAGACACCACAGTAATTTATTATTACTATATAGCTTATTAAAATCAGTCAATGGGCAGACATGGTGGTACATGACTATAATTCCAGTACTCCAGCAGGCTGTGGCAGGAGGATCACAAATGTGAGCCCAGCCTTGGCACCTTAGTGAGATCCCATCTCAAAATTAAAAAGATCATATCTGTGCAAAGGCCCTGGTAGCACACACACAAAAGTAAACACACAGTGATTACTTTAACATCTGCAATGAAGAAAAGAGGAAGAAAAACAGGGTCGACCCAGTTTATATATACTGGCAGCAACAACTAACGTTTGTTTGAACACAAGTATTTTGTGATTCTGGGGATGGAACCCGGGCCTGGCATGTGCTAGGTGAGGGTCCCACACTGAGCTGTGCTCACCCCAAACAGCGTTTTCACAGGAACCTTGGCTGCAGCCCAGCAGCACTGTGTATACAGCAATGAGGCTGGGAAGGGAAGGGCCGAGTTCCCAACCGCCTGACCCACCTGCAACAGTGGAGATCTGGCTCACGGGGATGGTGGCAGCCTTCTGCAGGTCCATCTTCGTCTTCTTGGTCTGCCGGAGAACAGGGAGAAGGCGGTACGTTCTGAAGGGCCGGGCGGATGCCCTCAGGGTGAGGGTGTTGCCATGGCACCCAAGGCCTGCTACCCTGCCACCCTCCCTTCCCTACCTGTGTGTCCTTGCTGCTGCTCAGGCACTCGAAGGCCGACACACACTGGGTAGCGGCATCCTGCAGCTGCTGGTACCACTGCATCGTGCTGTCCTGCACCTTCACCTGGAGGCCTAGGCAGCAGAAGACACTTCAGCAGCAGCTAGCGTTTACGTAGCCAGTCACAGGGGCTGGGGCGATGCTCTCAGTGGGAGCTGCTTTCATGATCACAATGCCATCATGAAACAGTGAGCGAGCAGTTTTAGCTCCACAGTGTGGATAAAGGCCCGGCACGGAAAGGTGAAATGCTTCGCCATGGGCACATGCGTACAAGGAGAAACGGGGTTCCCTGACCGGGCTCCAGCGCCCACCGCTTCTCACACAGTGCATGGACATCACGTATACCTGTAGGGATTTACTCAAAATACTCGGTGGCAGCAATATGTGGAGTAACACATCCGCTAGGATCAAGGACCATGTCCACACCACACCCACCTTCACTCTGTGTCCTGCCTGGGCTCTGGCTAGGGCCTGGGGCCTGGGGTGCGGCCCCCAGCGCCTGCTGCTCCCGTGACTCCTGGAGCTTGCCCCGGGCCGCCTCCGCCTCCTGCTTCTTGTCCTCAAAGGCTCTGCTGATCTCCTGGCCCAGGTTCGTGTGCAGGTCCCGCATCTCCTGCAGGGCCCGCTCTGCCTCAGACTGGTTCTCTGCTGTGGGGTAGCCGCTCTGCCGAGAGAGGGACACGGGGCATAGTACTCAGTCCCCAGGTGCCCTTGTAGGTCCAATCACACCCCACAGAGCGGTACTCCTGGCCTGCTGCGGCCAGGCCAGCCCAGCACCTTCACTGGACACATCTACACATGGAGCTCTCCTGTCTGCTGAAAGATCTACCACCATACCCAGTTATCTAAGCTGGAGCTCCTACGTTCTCAGCAACACTGCCCAGAGTCACCTCTTAAAAGTTTCTATCAGGGAAATTAAAGATTTTTTTTTTCAGTACCAGGGATCAAACTCTGTATCTTGCATTTACCAGGCAGGCACAGCATCACTGGGCTACAACCCCCCACCCAGGGACATTAAATTTTATTCTGCTACGTATGTTACAAATATATTTCATAATGTGTAATATCCTCAACGTTTATGTTTTTCTTTTTTGGTACCGGAGGGATCGAACTCAGGACCTTGCGCTTGTGAGGCAGGCACAGCACCACTGAGCTAAATCCCCAACCCAGTGTTTAAATTTTCATACCAACCTTTTCTTTATGATTTGATTTTATTGCTATGCTTACACAGGGACTCTATACCTTAGAGTTGCAAAAAAATTTTTTTTGGTACAGGGGATTGAACTCGGGTCCTTGAGCTTATGAAGCAGGCAGCAGCACCACTGAGCTAAATCCCCACCGCCCCGACTCTTGCCGTGTGTTCTCAGAGGGACACGGACCTGGCCCTTTCCCACTGACGTAATTGCTCTGAGCCGGGTGATAGTTCAGTGACGGCACTTGCCTAGCATGTGGAAAGCCTGGGTCTGGTCACCAGCACTGAAAAAACTGTCTATACACCTCCAACATACAGTCAGGTGCTGCCACGTGATGACAGCTCCGTGGACGGCACAGACAAGAGTGGTTCAGTGAGATTCTATCACTTGATGACACCTCTAAGATGTTTGCACAACCACGAAATTACCTAACAAATTTCTCAGAAGATGCCCCTGTCATTAAGCAATGCACGATTACGTGTTCATTACCTGCAAAAAATGTGCCTCTTCCTCGGCTTGCTATTCCACTCCCAATCGTGCTGTCTACTCCTGGGCCAGAGCAAGTTAATTCACTACTCTGCTAGATAACGCAGGACCCAGACCTGGTCCGATGTATTTCTGAACATATTCCATACCTCAGTTTATTGAAATTTCAGAAACATTATTAATCTAATTACTCAAGTTTCATTTTATAAATAAATAAGTAAAACTTTGCAATTTTCATTGTAGAAACCACATCCATTTTGGCTTTTTTTTTTTTTTTTTGAGACAGGGTCTCACTATGTAGTTGAGACTGACCTGGAACTCACTATGTAGCCCAGGCTGGTCTTGAACTCACAGCGATCCTCCTGCCTCAGCCTCCGGAGTGCTGGGATTACAGGTGTGCGCCACCATGCCCAGCACCACATCCATTTTGTGTTCACTTATTTCTAGGTATTTTATATTCCATTATATTTCTAACTTCTTTTGCCAGAATCACATTATTTTTAAAAATGCCAGCCAGGCAAGATGGTGCATACTCTGGAAGGCTGAAGCACAAGGATCACAAACTCGAGTCTCACCTGGGCAATTTCACAAGAACCTGTCCCAAAATAAAAATCAAAAGGGTTGGGGAGTACTCAGTAGTAGAATGACCGTAGGTTCAATCCCCAGGATGAAGAAACGAAATCCAAAGAGGTCATAACACATGGGGGCAGGACAGATGTCTAATGTACATTCTCAACACAGAACTACGCTCTTATATGAAGTTATAAAGAAGCTGACGCCTCTTGCTGTGATACACTGCTTAGTACAGAAGCAGCCAGGCACACAACAGTAAGTGATCTTTTATTTCAGTAGCATCTTCTGATGTTTGGGGACAGGGTCTCCCTACATAGTCTAGGCATGCTATGTAGCCCAAGATGGCCTCAAATTTGTGATATTCTTGTCTCAGCCTCCCAAGTGCTTGGATTACAGATTTCACTACCATACTCCGCCCGGCTTTCATATTTAAAGAATGGACACAATATCCAAAAGTTAAAAGAAAATATCCTTCGTAGCGGGGACAAGAACAGAGTGGAAAGCTGGACGCAGTGGCACAAGCCTGTAATCCCAGCACTCCAAAGACAGAGCCAGGAGGATCACTGCGAGTGCAAGGCCAACCTGGGCTACATAGTGATACCCTGTCTCAAAAAAACAAACAAAAAACAAAATAAAGAACAGAAAGCAAGAAAAAGAAGCTAGACTTCTGGATATACTTTGTTGTGCAGTTCAAACTTTGGAAACACAAATTATAAAACAAAATAAAATCCAGTTGAAAAAAAAATGACCCCCAACCATTTATCAAATTGGCAACTTAAGGATTTTTTTTTCAAGTGAAGAAAAAGTTTTATTGTCCACCCACACAATTCAGATATAGGCAAAAAGACCTTTTGTTTTGTTGTTTTTTTGAGACAAGGCTTTACTACATAGCCCATGCTGGCTTCGAACTCCAGCAATCCTCCTGCCTCAGCCTCTCAAGTGCTAGGATACAGGGGTGTGCAAAACATGCCTGGCTAGAAACAAAATCTTTAACCTAAGAAATAAGACCAGAAATTCAGAAAAAGAACACAAGAAAATGTTAACCAAGGTTGCCTCTGGGCAAGGAGGTGACAGCAGTGACTGTCGCTTCCTCCAGTAAGCAGGCTTTACTCTGGGGGTCGAACTCACTGCAAGGCAATCTCTAGGTGAGTGCTCTGCCCCTGAGCTGCACTCCAGCCTAGGCACTGCCTCTCAATCAGAAAACACACTGCACTGCTGAACCCCACTCTGAAGGCAGAGGAGTCCCTGGGTGGCCCTCACCTCTGAGGCTGCACGGATGAGGCCCGAGATGAGGCTGCACAATTGGTTGCCGCGAGCGCGGAAGGCCGCCAGGTCCACCTGCAGTGGGTCCCCATGTGGGTGTGAGGCGCTTGAGGCTGAGGCTTCAAGCTGCTGATTGAGCTGCAGCACCTCTTCCTGCAGGGCGTAGAGGCTCCGCAGGCGGCCCTGGCCCTCCTCCTTGCGCAGTCGCTCCTGCTCCTCCTTCCTCAGGCGCTGCTGCTCTGCCTCCCGCAGCTTCAGGTTGAGAATCTGCAAAGGGCCAGCAGAGGTCCCTGGGACTCCGGGAACCGGACACCCAGGCCTGGGCACTGAGGCAGGTTCTGGCATACAACCCACGTCCCAGAACTGACCTTGGCTCGGTGGCGATGCTCTGCTCTGAGCTTCTCCTGATGGCCCAGGGCTTCTCTGGTGCTGCACGGAAATGGCAGGAAGCAGGGGTGCTTGTGAGGCCTGGGCTTCTTCACTGACTGCACTGGCCACTTGCAGTTAGAAGCTGCCCTGCCAGCTCTGAGAACTTCAGCTCTTTCCTTCCCAACAAGACCTAAGGCTCACCTCCTCTCCACCACCTCCCAGCGTCCTCTGGGTCTCACCTCCTCTCCACCACCTCCCAGCGTCCTCTGGGGCTCACCTCCTCTCCACCACCTCCCAGCGTCCTCTGGGGCTCACCTCCTCTCCACCACCTCCCAGCGTCCTCTGGGGCTCACCTCCTCTCCACCACCTCCCAGCGTCCTCTGGGGCTCACCTCCTCTCCACCACCTCCCAGCGTCCTCTGGGGCTCACCTCCTCTCCACCACCTCCCAGCGTCCTCTGGGGCTCACCTCCTCTCCACCACCTCCTGTAGCTCCTGGAACTCCTTGTGCTGCTTCAGCATCTTCAGCTCATCGAAGCGCTTTAGCTGTTCCGAAGCCATCTCTGACAAGGCACGTACCTTCTGCTCCTGCTCCTCCTGCCACTGCCGCAAACCCTCCTGGAAGGCAGTGCACCTGCTCTGAGACCATCTCCACACCGTGCTCCTCTGCCCTTGGCAACCCTCCCTCAGTCCTGAGTGCCGCACAGACCTTGAGGGCCAGACTCATCTGCCCACTCCTGGGGACCAGTGGAAGCCTCGCTCTTGCGGTCTGCCCAATATGGTATCACTCTAGCGTGTACTGGGAAGGGACAGTTACTGAGAAATGTATCAGGAACCATGTGTTTAGATTTTGTAGTACTTGGGATTAAGTAAGAGCAGGTGCACTCTACCAGCCACCTCTCACCTCTCTTTTTTGAGAGTTTTGCTGTGTATCCCAGGCTGGCCTTTAACTCACAGCAACGCTTCTGCCTCAATGACCCCGAGAGCTGGGATTACAGGTGTGCTCCAGAACACTTGGCTTCTAGCCCTGTTATTTTATTTTACTTTTGGCAGTACTGGTGATTGAAGCTAGTATCTTAACACTGAATACAATCCCAGTCCTTTTTGTGTGTCTTTTTTTTGTTTTTTGTTTTTTTACTGAGGATAGAACTTATGGCCTTGTAGCTTACAAGGCAGGTGTGGTGCCAGTGAGCTAAATCCCCAGCCTTGTGTGTCTGTGTGTGTGTTTTATTTTGACAGTCTCACTAAGTTGCGCAGGCTGGGTTTGAACTTGGGATCCTCCTGCCTCAGTCTCACAGAGTGCTGGCATTATAACCAGTGTCACTGTACCTGGCCAACCATGTACTTTTAAACTTCCATCCTGTGAATTCCTTATGTGTGTGTTACTGGTGAGTAAATCCAAGCACACTGAACTATAACTCAGCTCCTTCTGAAACAAGGTCTTTTCTGGGGGGGGCGTACTTGGGATTGAACTCATGACCTTGTGCTTACAAGGCAGAGGCCACATTGAGCTAAATCCCCAGCCCTGAAACAAGGTCTTTCTACATTGATTCAGCTGGCTCAAATTTATCTTCCTGCCTCAGCCTCCAGGGCACCTGGGATTACAGATGAGTGCCATTACACCCAGCTCTCTCCTATGTATTCTTTTTTTTGCAGGTACCAGGGATCAAACTTGGGACCTTGGGCTTGCAAGGCAGGCAGCCGAACCACTGAGCTAAATCCCTGGCCCTCTCCTATGTATTCTTATGAGGGCTGCATGACAAGCTACAGAAATTCTTATTCTATTTTAATCCCGTAAACACGCTAGCCTCATTGCTACCCCACTCCCTTCCTCATGATTTTACCTCTACCTAGGACAGCCCCTGCCCCACCTGCACTGAGCAGCGTCCCTCTCCTTACACCTAAGGACGGCTGACACTGCATTTCTCACCCACAAGAGCACTTCCATATGTTTTTGGGTGTTTTTGGTACTGGGGATTGAACTACTTTCCTATGGCTTTAAAGGCTATTTGGTATTTATCAAAATTTACAGTGTACTTATCCCAGTTCCATTTTAGGAATTTATACCAAGGAAAAACTCATACACGAGTGCAAAGATCTATGGACACAGAGGATCCTGGCAGCCCTGCAACTGACGGCAATGCAGTTAAACAAGGGGAAGAGCTGGGGACGAGGGACTCGATCCCCTGAAGCCACAGTGCGGGACACTCAGTGATGGGCTCAGGAGGGTGAGATGCTGCTGGGCGGTGGCGTAGAGACAGGGTGTGGACAACCGGGGTGCCTCAGTCTTGAGCACATGCCCAGCATACACGAGGGACAGGGGCCAGCACCACAGTAAAAAGAGACGATTAACAATATGTCATTCTATTTTGAAAGTCACTTTAAGCTTCCAGTGCGAGAAGCACACTGAACACAAGCCACTTCTCTCTTCTCCTCTGAGCCTTCCTGACAGTGGGAGACGGCAAGTCAGAAAGACCACAGAGTGGAAATGCCAGTTCTGCTGTGCGGTGGCCTCCTGGGGCTCAACTGGAAGAACAAGCCGAATGCGTGCAGACAAAACAGTCAACTTTTCTTGCCGCCACCCGCAGCCAACAGACAGCTGGCCATGACCAAGGCATCTGCGCTATGTTTTAAAAACACTTGCAAATTCTTTGCCACCCACTCCTCCCCACTTCAAATAACCCCGCCTTTATAACTACCGTGGTGAGCTGAATGTGGCCATAAAACGCTGGCATATGACTTCTAAGGGTAGGTTTGAAAGGGACACCAACTCGGCCAGTCTCTCTTAAGATGCTCGCTGTATGTACGTACGTATTTTATTTTTTTGAGACAGGACCACATTCTATATTCCAGGCTGGCCTGGAATTCCCTATGCAGCCCAGGTTGGCCTTAAACTTTTGATCCTCCTGCTTCAGCCTCCTTCAGCCATGCACCACCACACCTGGATTAGGATCCTTGGTCTCTTAAACTGACAAAGACCTGAGGAAGCCCAGGCCACCGGGCAAGACAGAGGTCCCAGTGCACCCCAAAGGCCAGACTGCCATGACACTAATTTCAGCCACTACAACCACAGAAACCCCAGATGGGAGCCTCCTGGCTGAGACCAGGGACCCAAATACAGGAGAGTAAGGAAGCCAGCTGCTTCCAGACAGATTGGGACAGTCTGGTGGTGATTCACACTCTTAGCCAAACATGAGGAGCTCTAAAAACAGACAGAAAAATGGAGAAATCCGTGAAAAAAAAATGAGGAAGGAAGACAGAAGAGAAGGAGAGAGAAAGGAGGGAAGGCAGGAAGAGAGGGCCAGCTGTCACAGTGAGTATGTCCTCTGGTCTGGGAGCTGATTTTCCAGAACGGTACCCTGGGAAGTCTCAAAGCCTAATAATCCTGTTCTGATTATTCTACTTGAATGCCTGGTCTGACCACTAGTAAACAACCATCTTTAGATATGTGGGGAATCTCTACATTGTACAAGGAGATCAAGATGAACAAACGGAAAATGATAAATCAGTAAGAAAAAATATTTCAAAGACTACATGTAAATCTAAAAAAAGAACTCGTGTGACATGAAATGTGAGTGTGATGCTCTGAAAAAGGAACAAGTGGGTAATAAGAAAAAGCTCACAACAGGGAGGCTGAGGGGCTGGTGATGTAGTTCAGTGGCAGAGCATTTGCCTAGCATGGGTGAGGCCATGGGTTCAATCCCCAGCAAGGCATAAAGGAATGAATGAATGAATGTTTACTTAAAAAAAAAAAAAAAAA